AGCAGCTAAATGACCAGTCAATGTCGCCGGCTTGTCGACATTGCATTAAGCTGGCCTAGGTTCGACCTTAAGAACTAGAATCAGTGTTTCTGTGATAACGGCAGGTAATTAGAAAAACTGATTTTATGAAAGCGCGCTCAAACAGGGCATGCATGTCTCAGAACCTTCTAAAAAGTCTTCTCAGATCCGAAAAGCTCGACTAGTGGTGAATGAAATATGCCTAAAGAAAGCTCTCAAGTTAACTTGCGTACATATATCAAAGCAAAGCTGTCAATCTTTAGGCCTTTCACACAGCATAATATTTCAAATATAATATTTCCAATATTGAACTGTCTATTCGAAATTCATTTGCATATTCATATTTTTAAATGTAATAATAGTATAATTCTGTTACTCTGTAAAAGGATTTTTTTTCACTTTGTATAAATTGTGATTTTTATAAATATTTTGTAAATATTTCGGCGACTTATTGTTTTGATATTTGCGTATGTTCTATAAAAATCGTTCTATATGGACTCTTTTGTAAAAGAAAAAAAAAAAGCGAACGTGAGATCGTCGTAACGACATTATTGGTTGGTTCTCAGGGAACTGCAAAGCCGATAATGAGCAAAAATAAACCGTCCGCAACTGTTACCTGTTTCATACGTTTCTGGTGGGGAATGGGACTTTTCGAAGTGGCCGTTTCGACGTAGCCGTTTTGCCGTCGGGACGTTTCGCCGTCAAGACATATTTTTCTTTACACGACTGAATTATATCTTGCCGTATTATATTGATTTAATTTAATTTAATAAACATTTTATATAAAATAATATATAGAATGTTTTTATACTCAGTTTTAAGTTTTAGAGAAATACACAGTTACACATGACATTTTAATTTTAAGAGAGCAATGTGCTGACAAGATTCCAAAGTCATTTCGCTTTCCATTCTGATTTAATAAAACTGTGAATTTCCTGCTTCTATGAGTGATTCACTTAACTAGCCGATTAAAATTTCAAGAAATATTGAGGATTCATGTACAGATATAATTATAAAATCGATAATATAACTTCTGCTATATTAGAAATTTAGCCCCAGTTGTCTTTGATACTGACATAACTTTCCAACTAACTATGCGTAATTTCTTTATATCTCATACTTATATATATACGGCTTAAGTGTCTGTTTGTCGCCGACAGTTTATTGGTTGCTTGCGTAACTGTACTAGCCAATGGGGTGAAGTTGTCACGACATTCAAATAGTCCATACACACTGATATCATACATGCAGTTATCATTGTTTTAATTAAATTATCATTGTATTTAAGAACATTTAAATATTTTTAATTCATACAATTGTTGCTTATTATGCATTTAACTATATTTATATATGAATTACCTAGAATTATCTCATCGGGTAGGTTTACCCAAACTCCTATGCTAAATATCCTTTCGCGTAAAGAGTTTAAAATTTTGCCCGATTTTATTCCGACATTGTATTTTAAACTGAACTTTCAGCTGAACGCAAATTGAGCGTGTCAGGGGGAACGGGAACATTTGTTTGTATTAGCAATAATCTGTTTTTGAAATGGTTTACAACTGAACGCAAGAGTTCGTGAAAGAACGGACGTAAAATAAAAAATAATGGATGGTCCTCTGCAAGGCTAGCTTAAAACTTATGGAAAGACCTACAAAAGAAATGTTGTGTACAAAGAGATCTTTGACATATGAATTAACATTTTATTATTTAAATCACCTTTATTTATTGAGCTAGCCGTGGCTCTTAAGAAATGTACCGCCAGAGATTTCCTTCATTGCACTCTAAGCAATTAAGCAAGTAAAAGGGGGAAACCCCGTGGGGCAGTAAGCAAAGGGGCGTCCTCGCCGTCTGCTCTGGGTAATTCAGTTTGAATTAGCAGACACCTTTGCACAAATAATTTTAATTAAAATTTATAATATCTAGAACAGCGGTCATTTCGTATGACCGCCGGGATTTCTATAACTATATATATATATATATATATATATATATATACAGAGGCTGTTCGCACATTTTTTACACGATTTTGGTAAGCGGTAATAAAAAAATCGTTTCCTGCAAAAGAAGTAATAATTGTAATTGTACTTTTGTTTTTTCAAAAAGTCAAAATTATCGTCTGTGGCTTGAAAGTTTTGTTTTTATTCAAAATGGCGAATTTAACTAAGCAGTGGTTCGAAGGCTACATTTACGCTCTTTCCGAAGAGAAATATGCATACTCCGTTATCCAAAAACGATGTGAGAGTCATGGTTTTGTGATATCTAAAGCGTTGATAGGTAATATCATCAAGAAGAAAGGAAAAAAAAAACGTGAAATTGGAGCCTCAAGTGGGACAAAAATTCCAAACAAGTATCCAAGGAAAAAACGGACATCTTCGACTATTGCAAAGGTACGTTGTTTAATGTTAAAAGAAACTCCCCCTAGTCAAAAAGCAGTTGCAAAATCATTAAAATGCTCGTTGTCCACTGTAAACAAAATGATAAATGTTGATTTAAATCTTAAGAAAGCGAAAAAACGCAATGCGCATCGTCTTCTTCCAAAGCATATCGCTCAACGCAGGACACGCTGCAGAATTCTATATGAGAAACACTTATCCAAAGAAAAATGGAAAACAATTGTCACAATAGATGAAGCATGGGTGAATTTAAATGACTGTAACAAAAAAAGAGCCATTTATTATCATAAAAGTGGAGAAAAAAAATTAAGTACATGGTTCAAAGAAACGAAAGATGTTCAAGTTTTTCAAAGGGATTCATGATAACTGTTGCTGGAATTTTTCTTACAATGGACATTCAGGATAACATCGTAAAAAATAAAGCAAGAGTGCAAAAAAAAATGTCGCAGCAGAAATAAAAAATTAACTCACTAACATCAAGGAACATATTTATTTGTGAGCGCGAGATGTAAAGAAGGCCAATTTTTTTAATCTGAATGAAATCTTTACCTAACGCATTATAACTTTACTTTCATAAAAAGTATAATCAGCATTTAACTATGCTTTAATCCTTCTTCTATTGTGAAAAAAGACTCCATTTTTTCAGACAACATGCTAGCATCATATGCGAAATACTTTAAAAATTTTCGATGTTTTTAAACTGTTTTTAACCGCTTTATTTTCCACGATGTTTTAGAACTGTGATGTTTTCTCTTTGCGATGTTTTCTCCCACGATGGAACGAAAAAACGCGATGTTTTCGGCTGTAACCCCTTCACTGATATCCCTACTAAATCTCCCGATGTGTCACCTATGGATTTTTGTGCTTTCGGACTTTTAAAAACTGCATTATCCAAACGTTGTCCCAAAACACTAACAGGACTCTGGAAAGCTGTTCGGGAGGAACGGGATAGAATACCTCTTTTGCCACTTCAAAAGGCATTATTATCCTGGAAATTGCAGTGACGAAAGATAGTTCAGAATAAGGGATGTCAAATAGAACATTTAAAACACAAGAAATTTATGTAATTTAGTTTTGTGAATACAATATACGTCGTCTAAAAAATTTGTGAACAGCCTCTGTATATATTACAAGCAACCCTTATTAAGCATATAAAAGATAAACAGAATTACTCAGCTAAATGAATTTAATACGAGTATAATACGGCAAGATATAATACAGCCAGGTAAAGAAAAATATATCTTGACGGCGAAACGTTCCGAAGGAGAAACTTCCCGATGGTGAAACGTCCCGACATCGCGAAACGGCCACGGTAAACTGGCGACGGCAAAAACTCTTTCTAGTATGCTGTGACCAAAGTTAACATTCATTTGCCTTGAAAACAAGTTTATTTCCATATCAAAATGAAGAAACTGGCATACAAACTTTCGAGGTAATCAGATTATTTTTAAGAGTGCTTCTTTTATTTATTTATTCATTTATTTATTACTGTATCTGCCACAGTATTCGTCTTTATGAGATAGACGTAAATAATTATGTAATTTATGCAGTAAAAATTTAAGTTATTATATACATTCAGCAACATATGATTAACCCTTCGCAGGACAAAACGCCCGAGACCTTTCAAACAACAACAACCGAGATTTCAAACAACAAACGGCCGAGATTGCGTTGTTATTTTCTTCCCTCCCCCTAAGTACGCAGTTACAGGAATAATTTCCCCACATGAATTGTATCAGTTTGTTGCAGACAGTTCGTCCTAAAAGGCTAATAGAAGCTTCTGTGTTAGGAAGTAGAAAGGATGTTATTTGAAATCTTCACATATCTTTGTGCGTTAAAGGACAAGGAAAGAGGGAACAGACGGGAAGAGTAATGGACGGCGTCGTGCGTTTCGGTATTTTAAGCATATAGTTTAGCAAAAGCTTCGGCTTCCTAAGGGTTAAATAAGTCGCTTGTTCAACCTCCCGGCTCTTAGCCGTGGTTTATAACTAGCAGACTTTTTTTTTTCCACAGGGCAAAAAACAAAAGCTTAAGCGTAACAGCTGGCCTTTTGTTCTTACAAGAGTACAGAAGAAGACCCCCACAGGATAAAGCTCCAAATAATGTCTGAAAAGTGAGGAAGTATGCTTCAGCTCTTTCGATGCAGTGTTTGATTTCTAAACAATTGAATTAGATACAATGAATGCATATGAGGAAAATTTCATACGCCTTTTTCTTTCGCTGTTTCGAAGATTTCTTAACTAAGTAGTTTCTTTACAATACAAGAGCTTATAAATATTCACAGCTTTAGGTATAAAGAAAAAAAATGAACATACTTGATAACAGCATTATTACTTAAACTGTTATGTAATACTTCTTTAACATTTATTCGTTCGTACGTAGTAATAATAAAAATATGATTCTAGTATGAAACACGTAAAGCCACGTATAAAGAAGAACAGGTTTTCTGATTAGATTTTGCGTATTTTTTCATAAATCATGTAAAAATAATAGTGTATTTCCAAAAATAATCCCATAAAAATTTATAAATCCAATTTTTTGCTAAAATTAACTGAAAACAATAAAATATGAGAGCTAATTACAATTTACCTATTTCGCAAGACTGTCCTTCGTATGGTTTATCACAAGCACATTTCTCTCTGCCGTTTTCTTTAGTACAATTTCCTCTATTCTTGCACTTTTCACTAGGACAAATTTCTGAAAATATATCCGTGTACCAACAATATCACATACAAGTTAACACTTGGTAGTCCTGCACACAGAAGCAAATTAAAAGTAACATTTTAATACAGGTATAATTTATTTCGCTAATGATAAACAGTTAATCGGTTTTCGTTGGTTTTAATACCTTGTGTTAAGAAACACCTATAGAGGGCGCTGTACCACGCCTGTTTCTTCAGTGTAGAATTGCTTAACCATGAGTAAGAATGCTTGCAAAAAATTCGCCGGCTCTAATAATTAACGGCACAATTAATACTACACTTTATTTCAGTAATCATGTAAATACATTTATTTGTTGTTGTGTTGAAAACTGGCCTTTCATCGCCTATTACGTACAAATTGAACCACCAAGATAGTTACAAGTTTTGGATTAGTAAAAACGCCACATCTTGTTAATGGGAATAACACAAACTTAATTTTTAAAGAAAGTCCACATAAAAATTTCCAGATTTTAAATAATACCAGGCATTCAGCCTAACCTTGAAAAAATTTTATGGTATTTACATTAAATGTTAAATTCCCGTATCCTATTTGATTTCTCATTATTAAACAATTTTTTTCCTCACAGTACATTCTTTTCCATAAATTATGCAGTGTTATAAATAATTCAGTTACAATACAATTGGTTAATGTAAATGAATTAACTTAATTCATTAAGGATCCGTTAAGCAATTACAACGCAAATGATTAATCATTTACACTGTAGGCCCACCAGCGGCCGAGCGGTAAAATCGCTGAACACTGGTAGTTCGGTCCGAGGTTCGAATCCCGCGAACGGGCTGGCTGCATGGGCGTTTTCGTGGTTTTCCCCATGTGTAACGTGTATACGAGCCAGTTTCCCTTAAAAAGTCCTCCACGAAAGGCATCCCTCCCCTTAGGCAGATAGCCCTAGTGTAGCTTTGCCGTATTCTCAAGACACCAATACACCAGACACCAACACCATTTACACTGTAAATGATTAAGAATAGAATGACAATGTAATTGAGGTACAGATAATTGCGATTTACATTGGAATTGAATTTCTTATACACGTAATTAAATTGTGGTTGAAGCAACAATTGCAGTGTAATTGTGGTTAAGGATCCTTCAATTACTATCTAATTGTTTTCTAGAAATTTTGCAATCAGAATGCTGCTACTTGTACTATTAATTAAATTAAATGTAATGTTAATTATTGCAGTTAATTCAATTGCGATGTAGTTGTAATTATACGTAAATCGCTCAGTTAAAACGTAACTGCAATTACAATTAATTCAATTACGGTTCAATTGTTAATGCACAGTTTAATATTACAGAAACATTACAGTTACAACTACAAGGTAATTATAATCGCAGTTAGAATTATTTTGTATGTGACTCGACTTTACAAAGTAATTAGTGTTAAATTTATTGTTATTCTTCGCAGTTTATTACGTCTTGACGGAGGCGTTTTTTTTTTTGTTTTTGTTTTTGTTTGTTTGTTTGTTTTGTTTTTTGTTTTTTGAAATGAAACTGTGCACGTTTTATCTGGCAATATTTGGAAATGTTTTATTTGCGAAATCGCCGACATAGGCACTGTTAATCAAAATCCCTTAATCTATGCACGAGAAAGCACACTGTGTTTAGGAACAAACCGTAAAATCATGGTTTATTGTCGTTCAAAAACATTTTCGTAGGAAATTTGGTAAAGAAGCATCGCATCGTCGGAACATCGAACGGTCGGTGGACAAGTTTCAGGACACATACCGCTTGTTTAAGAAAACCAGCCTAGGACTAATAGCATGCAAAACCGAATAGTTGAAAAAATTGAAAACATTTTCTGAAGCGTTTTTATAACGTCACAAAACATCAACGCAGCGTGCGAATTCAGAACTCAAATGTGACTCATGTAACAGTGTGGCCTGTGTTATGGAGGTTGTTATAGAAATATACCTTTCAGATGGTGCAGACATTCACATTTTTCCGAGAAACCGCTGATTAAAGCTCTCTGTGATAATTTGCAAGATAAGCTGGAGGTAGGACAGACTTGCATTTACAGATGAAGCTTCTTCTCACTTTTCTGGCAAAGTTAATCGCAATAATCTACGATTTGGGGATATGAAAAGTTCACATGCTGTAATGGAACGTGGACGTGATTCTCCAAATGTGAACATTTTCTGAGCCATTTCTAACGGTTGTGTTTTTGGTCCTTTTCTTTCGATGCAAAATCTATTAACGGTGCACTTACCAAGAAATATTATCAGAGTGATTGTTCCTTCAACTGGAGGAAGCGGCTGCCGGCTTTATTCTGCAGCTAGACGGTGCTCCACCACACTGGCACAGTGCGTGATTGATATTCTATTCTATCGCTGGACTGACCGCCCTGTGTCAAACTATATACCATTGCTTTGTTCTTGTGGAGTTTAGATAAAGTTTTTTTACTTCCCTTTCCCCAGAACTTACTTCAACTGAAGTAGCAGATAACTGAAGTGCTCGAAAAGTTTTAACGTATTTACAAATTTCCAGCTTATTATCTGTATTATACTTTATTGCAGGTAAATTTGCAAATTGTTTAAAGCTAAATAATTTGTTTATATAGTAAATAAGTGTAGTTTGTTTAATATGTGAATTGATTGAACTTTACATTGTAAGAGTGTCTTCTGTTAAATTTGTATTAATGTAAATGTTTGAATGAACCCCTGGTCATTCGGGGGCACTCTGTAGAAACTGTATTGCACCACATGGCGCTATGTGCGCCTGAATTATTTTGAGTAGTTTAGAACATTGCTGACTGTGAGAGATATAAAACCAAAGTACATTAAGTAGTGAAAATCAAACTAAAATTATATGTGTTTCTTTTATAGTAAATGTATTTCTTTGTGTCGTCAATAAATTTTCGATAAAATGACAGAATGTGAGAATCAATGCTGAGTCTGAAAGGTAAGCGAAATTTCTTTATTATTTGATTTGAATATTGAGTTTTAGACTAATGCGAACGCGATGTTAGATGTAAGTTGCGTATTTAGACCTGACCGCCATTTTTGTGGGATTTCTCAAAGGGAGAGTTTCATTATTAAACTATACAGTTCTGTAAATGAATGCTTCTTGAAAACAAAAAAATTAGGAGAAAATTTAAACAGCTTAAACGAGTTAAATTAGAAAAAATATTTCATATAACAAACAAATAAATATTGAGCCCTTTTCAAAATTTGGATTCCATAGACATAAATGCTTTATTATTTCATAAACAATTATTTCACATTTTTAACTTTAGAATTTTGACATGTGATTTTAACAGCTTTAATTCGATCATCAACGAACTGCCGACGTCTTAACAGTTTCCAAACTTTGCTTTTTTATTGTATGTATATATATATACATATATATAAGTAATTATAAATAAATTACTATGCCTAAAACATGCGCTAAAGGTGCTAAGTAACACACCAATAGCTTATTATTAGAAAATGGTTTTTATATATTATCTCCAAGGAACAGCAATTTAATTAAAGTCACTATCGGCTTTAATTGAATTTTTGTTCCTTGGAGAAATATATATCTGTGTGTGCGCTCTTGTTCGTACTATTAAAGGATATAATTTATACATGAGCTTTTTCTTGTGAAAAATGTAACTAATTTACTCTTACCTGCATGGCAATTTTCTCCTGTATATCCGGCAGGACAGATGCATCGTGGAGTTCCGCCTTCAATGCTACATGTCCCTCCATTTAAGCATTTCAATTCACATAAATCTAAAAGAGAAATTCAGCCAAAAATATAGGAATGTTTTACAGAAGACTTTATCCAGCAGATGATAATGCTCCTACTTACAGGCAAGAAAAGCAACACTTGCGATCGGTTTTCTTCAGGAATTCTAAAAACGGCAGTATTAGTACTAAATTATACAATTTGGTAATGATGAAGGATTGTACCGCTTAAAGGCAACATATTAATACAAGATTTAAAGAGATTAAACGGGTTCAATGAAAAGAAATGTTTCATATAACTAATAAATATTAATAGTTTTCTCCAAATTTTTATTTCATACACATAAATGCTGCGTTTCTCTCTAAATAGATATTTTGCGTTTTTAATTTTAGAATATTAAAGTGACATAAGCGGATTTAATTTGATGATCTAGAAGCCGAAAACGTCCAAAGCTGGGAATTGCCGAAATCCCAATAGTTCTAAACCCTTGATTTTGTATTTTGTAAGTATAAATAAATTTAATAATTTATATAATCTATATATAGTATGTCAGCACTTCTAGCACTAGAAAAATCACAACCACACCTCGCTCCTGATCATCAATTTACAACACCTTTTACAGCGCAACCCGCAGAAACATCTCTCTTTCACATGGATCAAGGCACATGCTGAATATGAGGGGAATAAAGCAGCTGATACGTTGGCCAAGCAAGCAGCCACAGATGCAGAAGCTGAAAAAATCACAATCCCAGCCCCTCCTTCCTACCTCAAAAGGCTATTAAGGGGTCAAGGCCTAAAACTTTGGCAGTAAGACTGGACGCACTGGACAAACTGGGAAGACGTACATACAGCTGCCTCCCGAAAGTCAGCACCGAACGAAACATTGCAGTAGTTCCTCTTACGGCATATATTACGGGAGACGGCCCATTCCCGACCTACACTGGTGTGCAAAAATAAAGGACGAGACGGTTTTTTTCAATATAACTTTGTACAAAAGCTTTCCAAATCAACACATTTAATACCGTATGATCTCCAATACATAAGGACATAAGTAATGTAAGCAACACTTACTAAAAGAGAAATCAGAGGGATAAAAAGAAGCTTTATTGAAAACGTAGCATGGAGCGCAATGCGACTGAAGACCGAAACATCCCTGTGATGGGTGTCCAGCAAGAAACATCCGGTCTTTAACAGGGGATATGATCTCCCCTGACTGCTAGGCAGGTTTCACAGCGTCTGCCCATGCTGAGAATGAGGGTGTCAATGAGTTGTTGAGGCATTGCTGCCCATTCGTCTTGCAGCGCCAATCGAAGCTCCGGAATCGTTACTGGTGGTAAGGTACGAGCTGCCAAGCGTCTGCCTAGAAAATCCCATACATGCTCGATGGGATTGAGCCTTTTATTTTGGGCGTTCAATTAAATCTTCACGCGGTGTTCCATCATTTCATTGGAGTTGAACACCTCACCGTTGAAGCATTAACACCACACCACAGCAGTAAATATTAAAATTGGTGGCAGCATTTAGGGATTTTTCCTGAGAGCAAATTTAGGAACGGACGTTTTCGCCTGTGAACTTCAGTTAACATCGTGCGTGGATGTCCGTGCGTCTTGTTTTGTGAGTGTTCCAGATAGTCAAATGGATGTTCCAGAAAAGGCAGTGTTGTAAACTAATTTATGTGAGCAGTCAAGACTTTCTTCTCTGCACAAGAACGATCTAATTTTGGGTACAAGGACAGTTCTCGTGGTGAAGCCTTTTCAGAAAGTAACAGTGTGTCCGGAGGAAGGGAACTCCGGAGGAAGCGTGATCTAGTGCCGCAAAATAGTGAAATTTCCCGGAGGAGTTGGAGTATCCAAGTTAGTGCCAGGAGGAAGTCATCGAAGGCGTCTTCAAATTGGTGAGTACCATTTTTGTGATTTTGGAGAAGTTATGCCAGTTATTCGAGACTAGGTTTTTTTTTTGAATAGACCTCTGTTATTGGGGATTAAAAGTTTTCTGGTGGTTATTGAAAGTTAGTCTTGTGGTTATTGAAAGTTAGTCTTGTGGTTATTGAAAGTTAATCTTCTAGTTGCTTTTGCTAATTGGAATTTAATTGTTTGTCCTATTGTTTTAGTAACTGTTTAAATTGTATGGAGTATTGTCACGGTATGCTTTAGAAAAATTCACTTTTTGAATCAGTCCAGAGTTAGAGAGACAATATTTATATATTTGAGACAAAGCAGTAAAAGGTTGCCTCTTAATTAGCATTTTTGATATATGTTTTGTATGTAGGCATAGGTATTATCATTTAGTGTTGTAAGGCAATTAGTGTTCAGAACTGTTAGGTTATTATTCAGTTTTGGAGAGATAGACCTGTTGTTGTTTTTGTGTTATTTTATTTTGGGGTAGGTTATTTTTTTAATTTTTCATCATCGTGAGTTTATGAGGAAATTTACTAAAAATCTGCTATTGGAGTTAGCGGAGGAGTTTGAAACAAATGTGTCTCAGGCAAATAGAGGAAGAGAAATTACGCAGGCTATTCTAAATGCCGAGGACTAAAAGAAGAAGCGGCGAAAGAATACGCGGCAAGAATTTGGGTTGCGACTGTGCAGGAAAAAGCAGAAAAAAATAGACGATCAAGAAAGAGCAGAACGAGAACGTGAACAAGAGAGAGCATACAGGAACGCGAAAGAGCAGAGCGGGAACGTGAACAAGAGAGAGCGGAACGGGAACGATATCGAGTTTTTAAGTTGGAAAAGTTAAAACTGAGGATTGTGGTTGAGACTAATAGCCTAGCTTCCATGGTTGCGACAGTTGAACAATCTAGAGAAAAAAAGGGTTAAATTGAAAGATCTAGACCGCGATTTGAATCGAGTAAATAGATATTCCATTATTCTTTATGCTATTTGAGAAACAAGCTCAAAACGAGAACGATAAGGAGATTAATTGTGTCTTGCAATTCATTCCTTTATTACTTCACGATGTAGCCCAGTTAATAGTGAAATAACCAGCGGATAAAGGAGATGATTATCAGCATGTTAAGAAATTACTCATGCATAAATTCAAGCTTAGTTCTTGGGCACTAAAAACAAAATTTGAAGAACATTTTAGAGAAAACGATGTTATGGGTGGATTTAATGTATAAATTGAGAGTGTATTTCCAGAATTGGTTGGATTCAGTGGAAGTTTAAGATTTGAAAGTCTTAAGGAACTTATGCTCACCGAGCAAATTAAGCGGCGTGTCCCTCTAGAAATCAGAGAGCACTACTTAGACAATTGGGAAGAATTTAAAACAGCTTCAATTTTAGCAGAGAAATGCGACAGGTATGAGGCTTTGCGAAGAGATACGAGGAAGTTAGAACAGAGAGCGCTGTTAAAGAAACTATTTGAGAAAGATATAGAGATGCATGTAAATTCCAATAGTAGTTATAATCAGAAAAGTAATGGTCATCAAAGAATTAAATCAGAGGAGCATAGGAAAGTGGAGGCTCCTAAAAAAGAGCCAAGTTTTCAATGAAGCGAGGTTCGAGAAACAGCGGAAAAATAAAGGTGTTACCAATATAGAAAGGACGGGACATATCCGAACTAACTGTCGCTGGACAAGAATAAGGCTAATCTGGTGAATAATCTAGGAACGGAGAGTTTAGAGAAATATTTTGAGACGTATTTCAAGAAAGCAGTAATTAATGGGATAGAGAGAGAATACCTGAGTGATACTGGAGTTGCAATAGATCTGTGTAATAGTACTTGGATTACTACTAGTGACTTATTAGGGGGAAACTATATGGGTGAAACAGCGTTTGTTTGGACACAGAATGTAAATGTTTACCTTTGGCGTCACCATTGAAGGTGATTTTGGTGTGATCACCGCAAAGGCAGCGGTTACTCCTGTAGAGTTAGATAAAGAGTACTTTTTGTTAGGAAATAAAACTGCACAGTTGATGGAGGAAGTTAGGGAACGACTGGTTCTCTTGAATGTTGTGGAGACTCGTAGTTAGGCGCATGCGCGCAGGAGTTTAGAGAGAGCGAGTACAGAAGACTTAGATTCCAGATCGAAAGAAGAGAAAGAGATACAAAGAGAAAGGGTCTTGAATAATGAGCATTCGGAAAAAAGGAAGTAATACGGAGTAACCAGTAATACTAGTAATATGGAAGAGGCCATTAAAATTCCAGACACCAGTTTAGAAGAGAGGTCTATTCTTGCGGATGTTTCGCCAGCAAAATTCTCGGAATCACAAAAAACTTTCGCTAGTTTAGCAGCCGTCTGGAAGAAAGAGAAAGTGAAAATAAAAAGAGAGTTTATAAATTGTCAAGGAAAGACTATTTCAGAGTGGCAGGTTCTAAAAAAGGGGGAAGATACGCTTCAGCTATGTGTGCCTCTCGTTTTTAGGAAAGGGCTCTTGAAGTTATGCCACGATGAAATCTCTGGTCATTTAGGTGTAACAAAAACCAAGGACAGAGTTTTGACTTACTATTTCTGGCCTAATTGTTACCGGAAAATTGAAGAATTTATAAGAACGTGCGCTATTTGTCAGTGTGTAGGTCACAATATGGATAAAAAGAAAGCCCCAATGAAGATTGGGACCGTTATATCAGAAGTGCATAGCAAATTAAATATTGCTGCAGTAAAACCTCTGATCCTTAGTTCACGTGAAAATAAATACTTAATTACGTATATTTGTGTTGCTTCCTGTGAGAACATAAAAATCTCATGCCGTTCAGCTTATCTTCTTCGCTCATTTTCTGCTGACGACGTTCCAACCGAGAATGTGGGGCCTTTCGGACACACATCTCGTCCTCGTATTATGGAGCATCACTCACGTCTCTCTCCTATTTTATTTTTCCCTGAGTTGGATAAGAAGATATGTTCCATTTTCTAAAAAGTGCACGATTTAGTGATAAGTATTTTGGATGGAAATAAATCTGTCGTAATGCGAGACCAAAGGTAAACCTCCATCGAATGTCTGAACTGTGCCGTTCCCAATATGTGAGACCCGTTTCGTCAATCTCGGGAGAAGCCGACCATGTGCTCAAAGAATAGAAATGTATGATAAAAGAACGATCCTTT